AATGTGTTGCTTCACTGATAACGCTGGTGAAAATCAAATCTTTGTGAAAACCCTCCTAAGTTTGACTGCAAAAAAATCAAGTTGTTTCCTGAAAGCTGCCAGTTTTGAAAAAAAGTGACATTCTCCCACTGACATAAGAAGCATGTCTTTTGAGAAAGTACAACATGCCTTTTTGCCATTCTGAAGTACAAAATTGTACCTCAGCAAGTTTGCCACCAAATTTTTGTCTTTTTTTTCACAGAACTATTTTATAGGCAAAATAAAAATCCTGAAGTGTCTTAGTGTTGCTTTACACAGCTCAGGCTGTTTGTTCAGTACTTAGGAAACTGGTAGTGACGTGAAGGGCAGAACTCGAACAAACTGTGCAAAAATATGGGGAATTTGAAAAAGTAATTCTGTACCTGCAGTTTTTATTGTAAGTACAGGCATATTCCTCCTAATGTAAATGATCAGATTTTTTTAAGAAACATGAAAAATTACATCATGAAACATTTCCTCTGGTAGGTCAGAGAAACACTAGCAGCTGAAACAGGACTCAGTGTGCGAGTTGTCCAGGTCTGGTTTCAAAACCAAAGAGCAAAGGTAGGTTGTCTGTCAAGTTCTCATAAATAAAATGCAAACTGTCCTCCCAACACTGATTTCCCCCTCCCCTCATTGTAGTGCACACCATAGAGATCCCGGGCCTGAACTGTACGTGTTTTGCATGCGCTGCTCTCTCATCCATACAAGAGAGGCACCTTTCAAACACAGACATCAGCTTAGTGTCCTCAAAGGAACATGAGGTTGAGAGTAAATTTTGCATGCAAATAGGAACTGTAAACTGAAATGTTTAAGCTTAGAAATGAAACTGAACATACAGTGGTGTGTGCATGAGTATAAAAGGTCCATATTAATTGATTCAATGTTTGCAGAGAGTTTTGTGGGGAAATAAAATTGTTACATTCAGAGCCATGAGATTGTTCTGTTCTTTCTTTTTTATTCAGATGAAAAAACTAGCACGAAGGCATCAGCAGCAACAGGAACAACAAAACTCGCAGCGACTAGGGCAAGGTAGGGGATTTGTGGTGAAGGCAAAGCAAGAGGAAAGGGATCTGCAAGGCTTCTCGAGGTGCTGTTCTGACAGAATGTCTTAAGTACAGCCACACACATGCACAAGTCTGTGGATACCGTGTGCCGTCCTCAGTGGGAGCTCACAGAGGTGCTGTGTCTGAGTGCCCACCCCAAGTAATCCTAGATTTCTCCCATGGGCCCAGACCCCTGAAGTGCTTACAGAGAAGCAGTTACCCCCTTTCTAGAAGACAGAGGCGCTTTTACTGGAGGATATCTCCAGAAGGCTCACTCCAGGTAGATTCTCCAGTTTGTTTTCTCCTGAAGAAAGTGGGACCATCATCCGGGATCCTTGCAAGGGGATGAGCATCACTGCCCTAGCCAGGGCACCCCAGGAGGTGCACAGAGCTGCACGGAAGCACCAGGGCTTGCCCTGCTGCTCTGTGGGTGTTCTTGAGGTTCTCTAACTCCCAAAGCCTTGCAGCCTCAATCATCCTCTTCATGCAGAGCCAGAAAAACTGACACCAAGAGAAGCTGTAGGATAACGGGGCTATGTCATGCACAGGCCAGGCTTTGGGAAGATATGGTCCAGTACCCAGGCACTCTAGAAATTATATAGTCAGACATTACATGTCTTTCCATTTACTACTCAGAGTTGTACTCTCAGACAGAATTTTCTGAATGACAGGATGCACACGCTGCATTCACTCTGCACTTGGGTTCAGTATTGCCACTGGTGCTGCTGTCTGATGCCTCTTTGTTCCCAAGCAGTGACTGTGCCCCTCTGCTTGCTTTGCAGAAGTAATGTCCAACCGAATGGAAGGGATGATGACATCTTACACACCACTTGCACCACCACAGCAGCAGATTGTAGCAATGGATCAAAGCAGTTATGGCACAGACCCATTTCAGCAGGGTCTTACCCCTCCGCAAATGCCAGGCGACCACATGAACCCTTATGGTAAGGCATGCATCATTCTGCCACATCAGAAATAGCAGGGTTCGTGTGCTGGTTCACACACCACAGGTTCAGTAGAGTTACTTTCTTTTATAGTATTTTTTTCTGGGATTTGTACCAGGGAATTTGTACCAATCGGTTTTGTGTGTATTTTTCACATAACACATAAGGGGTTAGAAGAGAGCTCATCCCAGGCTCTGGACACCCTTCAGAACTATTTCACAATATAATGCTGATAAATGGCAAAGCAAGCAACATCACCTCTCCAGCTCCACTTTTTAAAATCACTATGCAAGACATTGAAAAATAAACAGTACAAAATTCTAGCTCCCTCACAAGTTTTTCCTTGTTCGTAGAAGCTTTGGGGAAAAAGTGTCTTCAATAAAGAGAAGTTATCTGTTCATTGCAAAATGAATAAGCACCCCTGTAAGACCCCCCAGATTGGATGTGTGGATTTGTTAAAGAACAGTTCTTGAGCTACTAAGAGATGTGTCACCATAGGACGTTTCTCCTGCATAACTTTAGTCTCTGCCCAAAATGAAGAGGATGGTTTGCTTTCACGATTTCCTGACCACACTCACTCAAGTGGATAGGTACACCAAACGCATCACAAGCATTAAATGCCTAATAATTGATTCTGGACAATTGCAGTGTGGCATTTAAATAAAATTTAAGAGGATTTCTCAGACTCCGATTATTGGCCTTGCTATAGCCCACAAGGGCCTGTTACATCAGGCTCACTTCTGTTGACCAGGAGCACCTCATGGTAGAAGTCCACGTGAACATCACTTCTGTGAGCATGGCAGGCACAGGCCAACAAGAAACCTGCCTTGGGTCTGCCCTATTACTTTTCCCACTAAGACAAGTCCACGGTACATACCAGGCAGTTTGGCAAAACCTGTAAGGAGCTGAGGACATCTGAAGTGCCAGTGAACATGAGGTGGCTAGTGATTTTGCTGCTAACAGTTTGCTTGGCTTTCTAAGCAAAACTCCTTGAGAGGCAGGTTCTGTGCTCCAGAGCGAGTGCAAGAGGTAACACAAAGCTGTTTGAAATGAGTACATGAGGAAAAGAGCCAGACTAACTAATGCTTACAGGACTTGTGCTAGGACACTTTCTGGTACCTTAAGAGTTGAAACAAGCTGAAGTCTTAGCTGCTAAGGGAAATAGAAGGTGTTCCAAACCAGCCCCCAAAGAGTGGAATTTTCTGAAGTGAAAGCACGTTTACAACAGGAGCTCACCTGAGGCCAGGGAAGCTGGGTCTCCTCCTGGGCCCCGTCACATCCGTGGGCCTGTCTTTTACCTTGTGTGTGAACGGAGACCAATGCTGGTTATGGCTCTCAGACCACTTTTTCCTGTCACGGGCACTCAATGTCTGGTCCCCTTCCTCAGCGGCCCCGGTGCCCCTGTGAATGCCAGATCCCATCTCACAGAGAGATGGAGACCTGCTCCTCCCTGTCACCACTTCCTCCCATTGTCAGCCAAGACTCTGTTTTGTGCTGCTGAATCAAATCCTGGCAGATTTGGGTGGCACTGCTGCCAGTCGACCTCTGCAAATTGGTTGCTAGCCTTCCTCTTTGTAGGTCAGACCCTGAGAGCAAAGTCACGTTAAGGTGTATAAACCAGCTCAGGAGTGTTCCCCTCTGCTGCAGTGTGCAACCTCTGAGCGTCCGTCTGTACTGTGTCCTGCTCTGGCTGTGCAGAACCCAGCCTAACATATACGTTTCGTTTGCAGGGAACGACTCCATTTTTCATGATATCGACAGTGATACCTCTTTAACTAGCTTGAGCGACTGTTTCCTTGCCTCTTCCGAAGTTAACTCCATGCAGGCTAGAGTAGGAAACCCCATTGACAGGCTGTACTCTATGCAGAGCTCCTATTTCGCCTCATGAAAATAAAAGAAAACAAACAGCCAGCATATATTTAGCCAGTGACTTTTTCCAGTGCAGACTCTACAGCCATATGTTGCCCAGCTCTTCCTTCACAGTGACTCCTGCTGCCTCTGGACTGCAAAGAGCATTTTTAGGAAGACTGTACCTGCGTGCGTGTATGTGTATGTATGTACATATATATTGATACCTACCTACCTACATACATATATACGTGAACAACGCACCCAGCAGTCCCATCCCCTTGGTTCTCAGCTTGCACCAGACCACGAGACAAGCATGGAAGGAACAGAAGACCCTGCTCGTCAGCAGCCTTTGGTTGGTTGGTTTGAGCTCACCCTTGTAAAGGAACTGGATTTTGTGGAAAGCTAGACCTTTTCTTCCTTTCTCTCTTCCTTTCTTTTGGATGTTTAAACTTTTTTTTCTTTTTTAAAGCCACTGATACAAACATCGGTCAACCATGTGACAAATAAATGGAAGAAACTGGAGATTCCTCCCTTTTCTTACTGCATGATTCATGCTATGTTGTGGATAAATTGCCATTTGAACTGTGAAAAGTTAATGTAAATGTGACGTTCAACATTTGTTTCTTTTCTACACTTTTTCTGCATAACCTTGATCTGCTCATTAGTTTATAGCCCTTATGCATATGATACTGGGAAACTGGTTACCGGTAGTACTTGTGGAGAAAACCATTTATAGTAAGAAAGGTCTGACCCTGGAGAGGAGATGCATGTTAGGGACAGAGGCGTTTAGGTTAGTATTGATCTTAAATGATTAAAACTAAAGGTGCTTACAAGACAGAGTTTTATTTAAATTTTTTTTTTGAAGTGTGAGAATAAAACATTTACATTTGTTTGTAATTATTGCAGTGCCAAATTTCAAGTCTAGACCATGATTGACAAATGTGTTACTCATTCTGTTCTGTATATTTGTTTTGCATGAGGCATAAACGTGCTATGCTCCGTTGTCCATCTGGAATAATCAAGCACTCCTTTAGTTCATTATCTTGCTTCAGCAAGAACCCATGATACACAGTTCTAGCCTGAACCATCAGAAGTCCAGAAACGTGCACTAACTGGGGGAAGAAAAAATATAAGAGATCACAATGAGAGGTTTATAGCTGTTGAGCTGGAGGCTAACCCAGGTCCTGCAGGTTTCACACTGAGGGACAGCTGGTATTTACCAGAAATGCTCCAGCTAACTTATTAGTGCAAACAAGAAGTACACAAATTGAAGGGAATGTCCTAGCTGAAGTCTGAATGTCTCAGTTGCTGAAGTTTGAGCATATGTCATAGAGGTTTTTGTAGGGCAAAAAATATCATAAATAATAATAGTCTAGTTATAAATATTGCCTGGTAATTATAACGTGGAGAGACAGACAAGTACGGTCATGGCTCTTAGTGGAGAAAACTTCATGAGGAAAATTTGCCAGGGTAATATCAGTAATTATAGGGTGTGTTCAAAATAGAGCTCATGGGGAAAGATTGGCAGGATAGGCACTTTCTTAAATAAATACCTTAAATATATTGACCGTAACAGCCAAAACCAAGTCCAGAGCATTGGTTAATGTGATTCCAGGCTGAGGACTGGTACCTGGTCAGTGCTGCAGAGTTGCCCATGGGCTCAGCACCTTCTGCAGGAGGTGCCCCAGGACTCTGGGACTCCCATTGTGGAGGGAGGCCAGAGTGGGGCCTCCACAGCGCAGCACCCAGGGAGAGTGGCCTTGGAAGAGAGGGGTCCTGCTGGGGAGCCCCACGGACAGCTGCCCACCCATCCCTTCGCTGATGGAGAGATCCTCCTTGTGTCCTGGAGGAGTGGTTGGCAAGGATCAGACGATAGGTCCAAGGAGAAAAATAAGGTCACATTCCTCCTCAGTGTGGAAATGTGGACCAAGCCTGTTAGAGGCTTCTTGAGAAAGCAAAGTTTTATCTGCAAGAGAAGTGCTTGTGTTTTCCCTCTGTGGAGGGGAGGAGAGCACCAGGAAAGAAGACCATGTGTGTGCAGTGCAAAGGGCAGACCTGGGGCAAACCCTTCCCACTGCTGTGGGGTGGCAGATCTGCCGCCTGCCACACACACAGAGCCCTCTGCCAGCAAAGGGACCGATGTCTCTGCGACAACGCGGGGGTGACACTCCCTTCCCTGCAGGTCCCCATCTCCTCCCCCACGGTGCCCACCTGCCCTGCAGGCTGCCGTGCCCAGGGCAGTGGGTCCATCACACCCACCTGCACTGCCTAGTGACCACTCGCTTGCTTTCTGACAGGGATGTGGATTTTTCAGTTGACAGGTGTGAGCCCCTGTTTATGTTTTGAAATTACAAGAATTTTCTTTTCTTACCCATCCCCTTCAATTACGTTTCTCTTTCCTTGTGTATCAAAATAAATAACAATTTTCTTTCTGTCTGCATGATAGCAAACATCTATAATGTACTCAGGTGACCCTCACTGTTTGCAGGGCAGAAGGCAAGCAGGTGTCATATGGCACATTATAAACATTTGTGACCACTGATCTCAATGGATTAATCAAATTTTCGTCCCCACCTTTCTGCTGTGCTACTTTAGAGTCATAGAAAAGCATCTTCACCAACTCAAACATACCAGATTCATAGACTCTACACATAGGCACAACCACAACCTTACTTCATCCCTTATTACAGGCAGGATCAAAATGGCATTTTTTTTAGTGTTTTTAGTGTTTACAGGGACTTACATGAGAACAATAATGTGACCTACAGTTTGGAGAACTGCCTTGTCCCAACTCTACCTCTGCTTCTGGGCTGGAAGTTGAAAAAAATCCATTTCCAAGGAAAGAAACAGATACCCCATTTTATAGCTGAGTAACCATAATCTTTTGCAGATTTTTTTTTTTTTGGACGACTGTTGGCCACTTTTTTTCCTTTTCTTTTTTTTTCCTTCTTCATCGCTTGTACATGTCATCTCCTCTTCCCTTGGTACCTTGGGTGATGATGACGCCTTAGCTGTTTGTTTCCCCATATTCTGCCATCTCTGGTGCCACGTGCATGACACAGCCAAGCCCTCTGGCATGCAGAACGTCTCCCATGGCACGGTGTGTTGCTGCTTATCAAGGGAAGGAATGCATAGCCAGTGATTTCCAGTGGACCCATTATAGCTGGCAAAGGCCAAAGTTCATTAAAGCAAAATAAATGTCACTTTTTTTTTTTTTTTGTGGAATGAATTACCCTACTGGAGTGTGATCATTGTGGTTTTAACCTGGGACCTGCAGTAAAAGATTATAGAGCAACCTCTGACCTTTTTGATTTCTGCTTTACTCTGCTATTGTCAAGGGAATGTCACTGATCAGGTGAAAGTAAAATGTTTAATGGGCCATATCACAGTAATATCTTACACTGAGTCAAATTGATAAACTCTTGCCAAAAATTCTTAGCATCTGGCTCTTCCACGGAAACCACAAACAATGATTGTGCATATGGGAGCTTGAAGGCTAGAGGTCATGACAGCAGTTTATTACATGCACCTTACAGTGATCATTTTCCCTAGGAAATTAACCCCTCTCTAATATAAACACATCAAGTAAGCTCTTCACGGTGTTTCAATCATGTTGTTTTGGCTAAGCAAGGAATACATGTTAAGCTAAAGTGGTGACAAGATGCAATTAAGTAAAAGATGATTGATTAGGTTTCAGTGTTTGCTCAATAACGTTTAAAAAAAAGATGATGGTGACATCAGAATGAACATGCTGGGTACCAGTTTCCTCAGAGGTCTTGACTGTGCATTTACCTGATCTGTAAGGGTGGCACGTAGAGATTTCCCGGCATTCAGAGATGGTTCCTGAGCAGCATGGTCCTTGGTCCTGGTGCCAGGCTCTTGTCTGGGCAGCAGCATGTTTCCATGGCACGGCTGACTGTCGAGGGGACCATTCCAACCAGGCACTGCTGTTCTCAGCCCCCCACTTACCACAGCACTATGTATTAAACGCTGTATCAGAACCCGTTATGGGCTGGTGGTAAATATGTTTCACAGCCATGACATGGAAGACAATTACATTGTTGTAGCTTAACTGCGGTGGTTGCAATTGCTAAGATTTAAACACCATCCTAGGTATTTTGATCATCTTTTCTTTAAACACTGTCATCAGAAACATCCAAATCACATGGCTCAGTTGCTGCTAACTGTGCCCGAGTTTTGACTCAGTTTAGTCTCACAACGGCTGCTGAGTGGATTTCTCAGGCTCGCCCTGCAGGAGTCAGATGAGTATTACCAGGTCCTTTGAAGGGGTCATTGCCACTCTTGTCAGCAGCAACTCAGCCACTGCACTGCACTGTCTTGCGTGGGGAAGGTCCTTCATGCCAGCAAACCTTCCAGGGATGATGTGAACCCACTTACCTCTTCCTACTGTGCTCAGGACTCCCTTCCAGTTTCCCAAGCCACCACCCCCAGTGCCCCAGGGAACTCGGCTGCTAGGGATGCTGCAAGCTGGGCTTCATGAGAGCACATCTTAGAACCGTGCCATAGTAATTTTGATTGTCCCCAAACATCATTAGAAATTAACAGCAGAATCCAGGAGGAAGGGAATGGTTCTCACAAGCCTGGAGCTTGGTCATAACAGTGAAAGGACAGAGAGGCTACTGAAGTACAGCAAAGCCGTGGGAGCTGGAGCCACAGTACCCAAAGTTTCAAGTGCTCAGGATAACACTTTACACAGTGCTGTGCCCAAACCATGTCATGCATTTCTGAGCAGCAGATGCTTCCTGTGTGCACAGGTCCATCTCCAGCTCACTCTCCTCATGCTGGTGGCACAAGAGAGCTGCACCCACAGCAGCGTGGCCAGGGCGTCAGGCAGCAACTTACTGTGGGGTGCTTGCTCACCTCTTGGCAGGTTCCTGAAGTCTTTTGTGTTTGATGGGATTTAAGCATGGTCTTGCTCATTTAAGGCCTATCTGAATAAACTGACAACTACTTGCCCTTCTCATGAATGCAGCCGGGTCCCCTTGGTTCTGCACAGCCCGTTTCTGCTCAGCAGTGACTGTGAAGGGACTGCCACATACCTTGCATTGGGAACTCTGTTTTTAAGTGAACACCCTATTTTTTAGCTGTGTATGGCTGTATTACTTGTATATTTATATATTCTGTATTTATGTTATCGAAATGTAGTATTTTGTAGCTGTCTGTTACAATTTGTTTAACTTGTAAAAAATATGACTATGCTCTCTCATACTTAACCAGCTGCCTTTCACCGTAGTCTTTGCTCCTTTCCCGCTGTAACAAACCACCATAATGTATGTAGATCGGATTTTTTTTTAATTTAATTACTTGTCATTGTTAAATTATTTATTAGTGTTTTTAAATTTCATTTCACTGCATTTTTTTCCTGCCGCCGTTGCCTGGCAGCTCTGACACATGAGTTCCTCAT